CTGACGTTAGCTCAGAAACTCTAGAAACCTATCTGGGTGCCTTACACCTTCTCTTTACAGAGTTGAATTATTTGGGGGAGATAGTAAAACATCTGCTGGAAAAGCTAAAGAGTCATCAAAAAAGAAAAACACCCTTGAGATGGATTGACACGGTGACCACAACAGTGTTTTTGAGCATGGCAGAAATTCCAGCGGCATAGGATGGGGCAAGGTCTGATCAATTGTTCAGAAGGTCTCTCTGTAAGTCATAGTCAACTTGATGGCGTCAAACAACACATTAAAATATCCAGACAGATATAACTGGGTATTTCTGTCATCACAGGAGACTAGAGCGAGGGCTACATGGTGGAGGGGACCTGGGGGAGGGTTTGTAAAACAATGAAAGAATCTTTTCTTTTACTTTTCCATAATTTTTGGACTCATGTACTTATAACTTGTTAGTCAAATTTGTGTCTTCTAGGTTGCAACACCCCCATGATACATCTTCAAGGATATGAACATGTACGGCCAAGCACAATCAATAAGAGTGCATCTAAATTCCAAAATCAATCTCCATAATAGTCTATGTGTTTCCTACTGCCAAAGGGGCCCTTTAGAGTAGTGAGAGAAGATCTTCACCCTGAAACCCACAGCGTCCCTTTTCAGCAGGAAGTAGCTAAGAGAATACGCCATCCCCTTTTCCTTATGACTCACGGTGAAGTCTCTCTCAGGGAGGAGTGATAGGAAATGGCAAAGGACACACTGACAAAGAAGATTAATCAGAACTGGCTTTGACAAGCACTGTGGCATTTGGACAAGAACAAACTGGGAGGAGGGTAGAGAGAATAGTGCAACAATGAATGAGTGGAAGCCCAAAATCTCTGTAAATGTTTATGAAAATTAATAAAATATAATTATAGAAAAAAAATAAAATAAAATATCCAGACAGCCCTCTCTACTTCAGTAAATGGTCTGGGTAGGGCCAGAAGAAAATGAGACTATATCCCAGATGTTCTTTTTATCATCTCTAGAAAAATACCAAAAATCCTCTCCCCTGCCCCCCTCCCAAAAAAAACAACACAACAAAAACCTCCCACACATCACCCCACGACACATGGGAGAGGCAGCAGGGAGCGTGTGGAATGGCTCCTCAGCGGTCGGCCCTGTGAGTTTTGGTCTTTTCCTCCAGCAGGTCCAGACCAGGCAGGCCAGTGGAGAGGTGGAGGAGGGACAGATTCCTCCCCACAACCTTGCTCTGCAGTCTCCCCATCTCCTTCTACTCCCTTTTCCTCTGCAGCCTGAAAGGCACTTTCTAGGTGCAGAGGGACAAAGCCTCCTGGCATCCTGACCTGGCCTGAGGCATTGGCCCCAGACTGTCTCTGCCTGGTCCTAGCACTATGAGTCCAAGATGGTAATTTGACATTAAAGAGGAAGGCCGTGTTTCTTATGCACTTGATGGAATTTGGCTCCAAACACAAGGGAAAAGTATATTTTGGAATTTAGGCCATCAGTTGTAATATGCAGTAGATGGCACATTTGCTAATGCACCTTCTTTTCTCATAACCTACTTTTAAAAAATGGTTTTATCGGCATTTTACGGGCTGGGAGTAATTCAAGAAGGAGCCCTGGTGGTGCAGGGCTGAAGTATTTGTATGCTAGCCCGAAGGTTGGAAGTTTGAACCCTCTAGCAGCTTCTCTGAGGAAAGATTTGGCAGGCCAGTTCTGTAAAGATTTCCAGCTTTGGAAACTCTATGGGGCAGTTCTACTCAAATCCCTAAGGCTGCTGAGTCAGAATCGATTCAAAGGCAGTGGCATTGGCTTTGACTTGAGTGCTTCAAGCTGAGCATATGATTGGCGTGCTTGGCTGGTAATCAGCAAGTTGCAGGTTGGTGTCCACCCAGAGGTACCTTGGAAAAAAGGCTTGGCAATCTACTTCAGAAAAGCCAGTCCCTAGAGCAGAACTCTACCCTGACATACGTGGGTTTGTCATGAGTCAGAGTTAACGGCACCACAAAAGAGTCAGGCATCATGCTTGACCCAAATTTCCATCTAATGCTTGGCAGAGTCGGGATGCCAAACCAACCAGCCCGCAGATGTGCTTTGTGGGTACAATGCAACATTGCTGCTACAGTTTTCGTTTTTACTGAACCTTACTATCTTAAGTAAGGAGCTCCAGTAGCCTAGTGGCAAGGAGCTGCGCTGCAATCCCAAGGGCATGAAGTTCTAATCGACTAGCTGCTCCATGAGAAGACTGAGCACTCTCCTCCAGTGCAATTAAACGACCTCTGAAAACCCACTAGAGGGTCAGCTATGGGTCTGTTCCACAACTCAATGGTACACAACAACAACAATAATTTCTTAAGTAGGGCAAGTGTTCTCCATTTCTCCAGATCCCCCACTTCTATTCACAAGGTCCATTGCATTACATTTACCTAGATCACCTGCCTAGACCCTGCAGACCACGGAGTTTTCCCTAAATCAGTCAGGAGTCCTCTGCTCATCTCACATGGACAAGAATGAGTGCTTAACACAGGCTTCTCTGATGAGGAGTAAACAGTATAAGGATGTACAGATGCCTCTCGACCTCATGCTGGCCTTCGATTGTCCAGTTGTGTACGCAGAAATGAAAAATGGAACTGATAGGTTTGCTTGATGGATAGGTTGCCACAGATTTGTTAAAAAAATCCAGGATCTGGGGAGCTCTGGTGGCCTAGTGGCAAGAAACTGAACTGCAATCCCAGAGGAACACGGTTCGAATCCACCAGACGCTCTGCCGGAGAAGGAGGCGCAATATCCTCCTGTACCAGTCAGATCTGATTTGGCGGTACACGTACACAAAATTTAAAAAAAAAAAAAAATCCAGGATCTGCAAAGTGCAACAAAATGAAACATAATTAAATGAAGTGAGCTGTAGATGCACACACATGTATATTTTTTTTAAAAATTTTTACTCCTAGCAATTCTAACTCCTAGCAAGGCTATGAGTAAGAGAGTGAAATGGTGCCCAGCCCCTTACCATTATCATTATTTTTGTGTGTTTGAGACCTTGTTGCAACCACTGTGTCAATCTACTTGGTTGCATCTTCCCCTTTATTACTGACTCTTGACTTCACATGGAAAGGAGGAATTCACTAAAAAAAAAGTGGATTGACACAGTGACTGTAACAATGCGCTCAAGCATATCCGACATGGTGAGACTAGCAGCCTCGAGCATATCAGAGACGGTGGGGATGGAGATGGATGAGACAAGGTTGTTCTAGGGTTCCTATGAGTTGGTGTCAACTTGACAGCGCCTCACAACTACTTCACACATATCCATTTACTACGCAGTCTCCCATAGCTCTGGTGTACTAGTGGTAAGAAAGTAGGCTGCAATCCCCAAGGCACAAGGTTCAAATCCACCAGCTGCTCTGCAGAAGGATGGACGATCTCCTCTCACGTCTCTGAAAATCAGAGAGTCAGCTGTAGGTTGGTTCCAAATTGATGGTATACAACCACCACCACCATGCACCTACGAAAGGATGCATGAGAAACCAGTTGGCATTGGGGAAGATACCGGTGTTTGGAAAGAAGAGTGAGTTGGACAGAAATATCACCGTATCTAGTTCTTGTACCTTTTGAAATGTGTACCCGTTTTGTGAATTATCAGAATCTGAAGAATCTCTTTATAGCTCTTCTTCTCCACTGGAAAACTTCACCTTAGATTTTAGGGCTCTATTCAAAGTTCTCTTTTGTGGCATCTTTAAAAGTAATCACTTCCTTCTCTGGGTTCCTAATCAACTTTTCCAGCTCTCCATCATGAGAACCTTACAACCTGGTTTACTGATAGGTGAGTTTTTTTGTTTTTTGTTTTTTGTTTTTTTTATTTTTGTGTGCGTGTACCGTCAAATCAGATCTGACTGGTACAGGAGGAGATGGCCCCTCCTTCCCCAGCAGAGCATCTGGTGGATTCGAACCGTGCACCTCTGGGATTGTAGTTGCAGCTTCTTGCCACTAGGCCACCAGAGCTCCCCATGATAGGTGAGTTCTTGAGGTTGGGATAGGATGTGATTCACTTCTATCCATCTAAGTGAACTCACTGCCACCAAGTCAGTTCCTACTCACTATGACCCTCCACTGGGTGTCTAAAGCTTCACAGTAGGAGAAGAACCTTCTTTCTCTTCTGGACCAGCTGGTAGATTCAAACTGCTGACCTTTTCGTTACCAGCCCAACATATTATTCTCTGAGCTCTCAGTCTGAGACTTGTAGAAATACCTGTAGTATTTGCTGAATAGCATCTACTATTGGTATCCTCGCTTGCCTGTTTAAAGTCACTACGGAAGCTTGTTTTCACCTAATTTCACTGTAGAAAGATGAACAGGTGAAGAGTTGTGGTGGGACTTTTATACCCATAAACACTGTCTTCTGAGACAGAACTTCCTGCGATGATAAAAAATGTTCTCTGTCCAATACACTGGCCACTAACCCAATAACATGGGTATTGAGCCCTTGAGATGTGGACACTACCACTGAGGAGCTGAACTGTTAAACTTTATGTAAACAGTCCCACATGCTCAGTGGACACTGGATCGGACAGCTTGATTCTAAAGCTTTCTCCATCCAGGGACAGTTCCTACCCACTGAACAACAGGATCCTTAAGCATGTTTCCTTTTCAAGCCATTCAATTGAAACCAATGCCACCAAGGTAGTTGTTTCTAACATAAAAATTCAGTTTATTTCTCTGGTTTTGACCCAGTACACAAGAGGGCAAAGTGTTTCACATCATAGAATTTCACTTCCAAGTCTTTTGGAATGTTCATTTCTTTGGCTAAAAGGAGAGTTGCCAGGAAAGTCAGGCAGGCATTAGGTAGGCCACTAAAATAAGGGAAGGGGGGGCAACACTGACGCCATTCTTGGCGGGATGGGCGGGGCGTGGGGGTTGCTGTTAGTTGCAAGCTGATTTTCTAGAACTGTTAGCAGGAAGCTGGAACCATTTCTGGAGGCTCACAGGGCCTCCGGCTTCAGTCATCTCCGCCGGCTTCAGTCATCTCCGCCGCACAGGTACAGCAGGGCTTTTTGGTAGTCGCCCTTGGTGTCTTGCTACAAATTGTCAAGGAGAAAAAAGAAAGAAGCTATTAGAGAAAAGACTCAAACTCTGCAGTAACTGTCTAGCTGGCCCAGCCCAGAGCAGAGCCACTCCCACCCTAAAACAAAGCAAACCTCTGGAGGATCCCTGAGACTGGCAGGCAGCCAAGACCACACCCAAACTCTCCCCACCATCACCAGGGAGTGCAGTCAGTAAAGGTGCAGGAGACTGGCAAGTCTTTTTGTAGTTCAAGGGCGGAGTGAACTAGAGGTACTGAGAATGTGGGTGGGTGTCCAGAACAAGAACACCACTATACTAGGTAGAAAGCAATGACCTGCACTTTCTCCCTCCCCCTCCCCCACAGGTCAGGTTCTCACGGCCTATCTGCTGTAATTAAGCCAGCTCTTAAAGCCACTTACAAATATACTGGTGCAGAAACAATTCCTAAAAGTCCCTAAACGTTAAAAGAACACTCTCCAAACACCTGGGTATACAATGCCTTTGAAAATTTTAGAATCTTTTATTCTGAATACTTACAAAGAGAAATCACAAAGTCCGTCTGAACTCTACATAAAAACTCTCTGCTGTTGAGTCTGTTTTAATGCCGAGCGTCCTTACAGGACAGGGTAGAACTGTCCCATGAAGTCTCCGAGGCTGGAAGCCTTTACGTAGCAGAATGCCTCATCTTCCTCCCAGTATGACTGGTGGGTTCAAACCACCAACCTTTAGTTAGAAGTCAAGCGCTTAACCACCATACCAGGGCTTCATCAAACTACAAACTACTAAGCCGACCTACAACACAATCCTTTCTTGTCTATGATCCTTCCACTGATCCAAAGCAGATAGAGGTTAAGCTGGTGGAAGAGATGGGTGGCCTGACACTGAATTATTAAAGGCTCACAAGCCTATCACAGATGATGGAGGGGTTTTTGTTGTTGTTGTTTTTAAGAAATGAAAATAATAAAACATTTAATTGACCTTTGAGGTCCCTCCTTGGGTTCAGATCATAAATAGCAATATTGCAGTGTAACAGACGTGGGATAAAAGACACTAAAGTGCCTAATTCTGTAGAAATTCCAGGAAAAGTCATAAAAGGGGTTTTAAAAAATAAATCCCTTTTTGATGTAGTCAAAAAAAAAAAAAATCCCTGATAATCAATAACTAGAATTTCCTCTCCAGATTAATTGTTGTTGTTACATTCTATGGAGTCAGAACTGACTCAGAGGTGACCCTCTAGCAGGTTTTCCGAGACAATAAATCACACAGGAGAAGAGAGTCCATCTTTCTCTCATGGGGCAGCTGGCAGATTCAAACCACATGCCTCCGGGCTAGCAGTGCATCTCCTTACTGACTAGGCCCCCTGAATTCCCTTCCCAGGTAATTAGGGATCAGGAAATCACCATGCTGTTATCCCCACAGGCCACATTCCAGCAGGTCCGGGACACACAGGACTTGAGGACCTACCTGGATGAAGTGGTACAGGGACTTGCCGTACTTTCTCTTGAATTCAGATCTAATTTTCAACATGTCCACTTCACTGCGGGAGACCATGATCCTAATCAGGATCTTATCGCGAGTTCCCTTGCCCTGAAAATCAAGTTGATGCTCAAGTTACAATTTAATACAAATATTATCCTAGGAAGTGAACCTCGTCAGTGTTTTCTTTAATATGGAGCAGAGCTAAGATCTCCTCTCAGAGACTGCAAAGGCCAAAACTGTTTCCTCCAGTGAGCACACAGAAATCCTAAACACTTAAAAAAAAAATCCTAAACACTTGAGGATTAAACAAGAGTCTCAATTTTGATAGGCTTTCTGAGTATAAACACCGACAGGTTTTCTACTGTGGTGACTCTGCTGTTTTCAACAGTATGAACAGGAAAGACTCCTGTGTTTACTTTTAGAGCTGCAGGCTGGTGGTTCCATGGAAAAGGTGGTACTTGATATAGGAAGAAGAATGCTGCAGTTGTCAGATTAAAAAAAGAGCTGAAAGTGAGAGAGAAAAAGACTTGGCTGCCCGTGTGCCATTTTGAACCTCTCCCTGGCATCCCTCTCAACTCACGCAATAAAGACCTGATCGTTTCTTGGGACCAGCTTCTTTCTCTCACTCGCTTTCAATTCTTTTTTCTATCTAACAGACACAGAGCTAAAAAAGAAATAAGAGAGGGCAGCAGAAAAGGGGAGGTGAGTGGAAAATGGCACATGTCTCTGGGAAGATATGGTTAAGTTAAAGGTGAAAGTTCAACTGGACCCAAACTGTGTGTGTGTGGGGGGGGTCTCTGAATAGGGGGCCAAGGAATTTCAACCCTGCAAGGCAGAGTTGTAGGACTGGCTTTGAATCTGGGAATGGAAACTCAAGCAAGCTGGGCACCAGTGTCTTCATCTGTACAGAAGAGAGTAATACTGGCCTTTGTAGAACCCCCTCATGTAAAAGAAGTAGCCCAATGTCTATTATGTGCTGGTGTTTGCCATCAAATGGATTTCAGCTCATAACAACTCCATATGACAGAGTAAATTAGCCATAGAGTTTTTTTTTCTTTTCTGTAAACTTTATAGAAGCAGGTGACCAAATCTTGATGCCATAGACCCACTAAGTAGATTCAAACCACCAACCTTCCAGTTAGCAGCCAACTGAATGACCACTACACCACCAGGGCTCCTCGAGTGCTTACTAATCTCTCCCTGCTTAGTTTATCGTTACTTTAGAGATTATATAGGAGCGTATTTCTAAAAAGGCTTGAGCAGGAATCTGATATGATTACCATCTAGCTTTTTCTCTCTTCTATGGTGCTTTGTTTCCTACATGTGTACAAACGTGTTCAAGTGGCTGTAAGGAAGAAAGCAGAGTGGTGGTTTTCTCACTTGTCAGACACAACAGCAGCTGACTGGTGGGCTGCTACATGTAAACACGGGGGGCCCTTCTTGGACCCACTACTCAGTATTTTCTAAAACGTCACAGGAGACTTGGGTTAGATGTCAAAGGAAAGCAAGCCTGTGGCGGAAACACTGGCCTCTCAGCCCACCACGCTTACCTTCATGGAGTCATACAGTCGGTCAGCAAAGTACAGGGGCTTGTTCTGGATACACTGGACTGTGGGGAAAAGGTAAGAGGTCAGGAAGATGCTGTTACTCTCTCCTCCACCAGTAAGACATTAAGTCTCTGCTTTCAAAGAATGACTTGATGCAAGAGAAACAGGCCCCAAATGGATAAAGTTCAGGAAAAAGAAAGCCTCTGAAACGCTGAGCTCCTCTGCAGTTTTAAATGAGGAAACTCCTGAAAACCAAATGGAAACGTGAGCTTTACCCACATTAATAGTTTTCTTATTTCACTCTTTCTCCTGCACTCTTATTCCACCCCGGCAACCTTCTGTGTTACCAATTTAAGCCTTTTTGTTTGTTTGCATTCTGTTTCTCATCATCAGATTTATATAGTTAGGTTTCTAAAACTCGCCAGCTCATGCATAGAAGTCACACTTGCCAGTCACACTCGCGTGAACAGGATGACCATTCATTTCTTAATTCTCAGTGCTGTTTACCAGAAGCTGATGCCCACTAGGGATTCAAGAGCCACAGGTACTTACCCAGGTTCAGGAAAGCATTTTCCAAGTCTCCTTTGACTTCCTTCTTGATGCTCTCCAGCATGTCATAAGGACTGTAGCTCTTGTACCTTTCAAACACTGAGGAGAAACAACAAATAACCAGGTCGACATTGTCACTAGTCAGAGCTGCCAACAGTCACCCATACAATTATATACCACGATGGATAATTAAATCATAGCACCCAAGAAAGTTAAGGGTTACCGTGTTGGGCCAGACCCAACATTCTACTAGTGAGCCTTGGAATAGACACCCAGCAGCTGCTCTAACCAGCCATGCACCTGTCCTGAATGGCACTCCTCGGCTCTCTTATTTTGCCCATCTCCTTTCAATGGAGCCTACTCTACTTGAAAGATATGATCAATAGTATACAGCACCCAGATATATGACTCCTTCAATAAACAAGGTAAAATGACCTTCAAACAAGACACAAGCTATAATACACATTGGACATGAAATATTTCTTGGGGAAAGATCCGAACTGAGAGGAGTGTGCACAGACTAAGTGGTCTAACAGGCATACAGAAGGGAGAGTGTTTTGGAAGATTCTTGCCCTGCTCCCCACATCCGGCCCGCCTGGACCACCACGTGTTTGGGCTCAACCCTCCTCAGCACAGGACCAACCTTTCTGCAGGTGGCACACACTGCGCTCTGTCATGATGCTGATCCACTTGGGCACATCAGTTCCCTTCCTCTTCACGCCAGCATCATACAGCTCCTAGGGGAAGAATCCACCAGGAAAGTTAACGACAGGCTCTAGGGCCAGGTCATGAAAACCTTCATGCTGAAAAACCGCATGCCCACACATTCATTTAAAATGTCAACTGAAAACCAGATGATTGTATGGCAGATATGGGCAGAAAATGTGCTAATTAGGTCATAAAGTCTTAATAACACACAATCTTCCTCAGGTACAGACAGAGCATGAGACCCTAGATTGTTCATGGTGGGTGCTGTTCAAATCTCCTTCCTTCAACAGCAAAGAACCAAAAACTCTTCCCATTTGCAGAAGGATCATTAATGTTCATTAGCATACGTGGCCCTCCTCTCAGTTAGCACTTTTCGTAGACAGCAAGCTAGTGATCATGTCCCGAAGAGAAACACGAGCCCGAGACCTACACTCATGCTTCGTAGAGACTAGAAATGACAGGGTAGAGACTAGAAATGACGGGAGCTAGGAAAGGAGCGGGTTCAATACTGATTTCAATTTCTGGAAAATTTTGGAACTCAAAATAAGACTAAGGAGCGCTGGGTGGCGCAGTGGTTAAGTACTTAGCGGCCAATCAAAGGCTAGCAGCTCAGTCTCACCAGCTGCTCCCTGGGTGAAAGATGTGGCAGTGTGCTGTGTAAAGACACAGCTTTGGAAACTTCACAGGGCACTTCTGCACTGTCCTGAATGGCTGCTATGAGTTGGAATCAACTTGACTGCAATGGAATTTTTGGCTGCTTGCTTGTTTTTCAGTATAAGGTAGATTAAGAAAGGAGGAGGGAGAAGACAGACTTACACAAGGGTGGATAGTCTTTCAGTGCATCTCCACTCTGGATCTTGCAAAATCTCACTCTGATAACTTTCTTTAAAACCCTTCTCTACCTCCTATTAAAAGTAGTATATGAAATAGTGGTTGTTTAGGTGCCATTGAGCAGACTGTGACTGCTGGGGACCCCTGTGGACATGGCCCAGCCTGTGCCATCCTTGCGGTCTGCACCATGGCAGGCTCAGTGCTGTGGTCACTGTGTCAATCCATCTAGCTGAGGGTTTTCTTCTTCACTGGCCCTCCACCTTTCCCAGTATGTGTTTTTCCAAGGATGGGCCACTCCTGATAACATGCCCACAGCACAGGAGCCAGGGAAAATCCCAACCAAACAGAATGATTTTTAAATGGAAAGGCTTTTAATTGTGTCCTGAAACTCATATGAAATGTTCTGATGACATTGTTGACCCTCTGCATACACTGTTGGTAAGACGATAAAATGGTGCAACCACTCTGGAAGACGGTTTGGTGTTTCTTCAAAAAGTTGAACATAAAAACTCCATTATGAAATATACATCAAGGAAATTGGACCTGAGACACAAACAAAGATTTGTACACCCATGTTCATAGCAGTATTATTCACCATTGCAAAAACATGGAAACAACCCAAATTTCCAACTACAACAGAATGAACTGAGAAACTGTGGTACATTCACACAATGGAACACTACGCAGCACTCAGGAGCAACAATTTTGAAAAATACTACATAACTTAGGAGAGGATGGAGAGAATTATGCCACATGAACTAACTCAGTCTCATAAGGCCAAATACTGTGTAAGACCATTATAGTAAAAATAGAAGGATAACCAGTAAAACATGTATGAGGGCCCAAGGAAGAAAGGGGTAGGAACAGAGGGGTGAGGATCGGTATGGATGAAACCACAGGGTTGCACAATTTGATGGGTAGAGGCAGTGGATGTAGGAAATGGGAAGGATCTGGTGGGGACCTGAAAAGACTGCATAATTATGGACAATGTTCAATGGTGATTAATTTTATAAAACATAATGCATGGGAATGATTGCATGAAACACAATGTAAGTGAAGAAAAGTGTGAAACACTATGCATACAAACTTTGTAAACTAACCAATATAAAAATTTAAAAACCAAAACAAACAACCTGCTGACCCAGCACTTTACAGCCATCTGAATCAGCAACTACACCCCTAGAAACTGCAAACGTTCTACACAGTCTGAAAAGAAGACAGCCTTCCCATTCTCCCCTCTCCCCCACCACATGGAGCAATAAGCCTTCTGTGCCTGGTGGTGCCTCTGCCTCCTTCTGCTTCTCCTTGTTTCCTCTCCGAGTGTTCATTTGAACAAATGCAAAGCAGTGTGCACAGCCCAGCGACATCCTCAGGAAACCAGAACTTTTCACAGGAGCAAAACCTGAACAAGTTCATGTGAGCTAGACACTAATCCTGTAATCCACATCTGCATCATAAAAGGAAACACCTTGTAATAAGTATTGCTCCCAGAAGGTGAAAATGAAATTCACATTTTCAGACTGTGGGGGATATGAGTCTGCTCACCACACCACACATGCCTTAGCCTCCCTCCCAGGCAACAGCGGAGCCTAGTTCCTCCCCACCCCTCCACTGTGCGAAGACTGAGTGAAATGGAATGTGTTGTGAGTGCTGGAGTGTGACTACTGAGCTTTATTCAGAGGGGGCACTCTAGGTTCCTCCTTGCTTTCTTCCTTAAATCATAAACTGTCGGAAAGCCGGCAGTCACCTTGTCAGGACACTCAGCAACTTCATAGAAAGCCCACATGGAAAGGGATGAGGATCTCCTGCTGACAGTCCTGTGTGTAAACCATCTTGGGGTGCACCGTCCTGACCCAGTCAAGCCCTCAGTGATGGCACTATTTTGTGTATAACCTCACAGGACATGATCCTAAGCCAGAGGTGCCCAGTTAAGCCACTCCCAAGCTCCTAACCCACAGAAACGGAAAGATAATCAAGGAGTATTCTTTTAAGCCCCTTAAGTTTGAGATTATACAATAAGCAATAACCCAGACGACATAGAGACTTTCAGTGGGAAACAGAATCTCAAAGGAGGAAGCCTGGCACGTACCCGGGCATCCTGGTCAATCTGCTCATAGTCAATGACGGAGCCATCCTCTGCTCTTCTGCCCTGAAGGAAAAATGAAAACAATTAAAAACTCGATCAAATCTATTTCTTTGTATAATTAAAACGGGGAATGTAAGCTGTTATCTAATCTACTAAAAAAGCACTACTTAACTCTTTACTTTGAAGCTTAGGCAAGACCAAGGAATGGGAGACAGCTGAGGCAGCATGGAGGACGGGGCCTCCCCATCATGCCCTCCTCAATCAAGTTCTGGCCTGAGCACCTAACGGAATCCACCCTTGTTCCAAGTAAAAAGCTCCCAATATGTGATTCCTTCTCGCAGACAGTCCAGACGGAGAAACACTCATGGGACACATGGGAAGCAGTACAACAATCTCTGGTGCTAAGAAGACATGAATGCCAGAGAAGGGTGGCCTGGAGGCTTCAGCAGAAGCATGGAAGATGAGTCACTGGAGGCTGGTCAAGGGTAAGGGGAAGAGACCCCACCCAAGAGGCCCAGCCCAGGCAGGGGCAGAGAACACTTGCAGGTGAAGTGCCACCCTGTTGGAGAGACAAACACTGGTGAAGCTTAGAGGATGCAGATAGGGAGAAGGCTGGGGCACAGGAGCCTTTCTAGACAATGGATAATGTGGTCTTGATGAGCCAGAAAGAGGTTTGGATCAGGGGAGGGAAAAGGTGAAAGTGGATTTTTAAAGCTGTTCAGATGGTGGTACACAGGGTAAGTGGTAGAGGAAGAGAAGAGAGCTGGGGAGAACGGCACACGAGTGGTTACAGTAAAGCAGATCGAGGAGCCATGTCAGCTGGCGGTTTGAACGCCACCAGTAACCACATAAGAAGAGACAAGGAAGAACTCTGTTCCTATAGATGATAGTCTAGAAATCCCTATGGAGCACTTCTACTGTCACATGATGTCACTGTAAGTTAAAATCAGCTCAATGGCACCGGACAACAACTCCCTCCAGCAAGTGAACATTAAAATGCACCATGGTCAGAATTCGGGCTCAAAGGGGAAATGCTTTTCACCTGTGGGTGCACAGCTCCACAGGACAGCCCCATCCCCCTCCCATAAGAAGTGAGTGGAGGGGCAAGAAAGAATATTGACCTTCCCCAGTGCTATGTGACCACAGAGAGGGCAAAGTGACCTTCCCTAAGTCATTCGGTGAAGCTGCCACCAAATCCAGGCCAGGACTTGTGAGCTGCCAGGCCCTCCCCTGGCCCCTACAGTCCACTGGTCCATGCGGTTTCGCAGGATAAGAAATCCTATTATTAAAAAAAAAAAAAAATACAACTCTGCAGTGACAGTGCAAACCCACTGTCAGAATCTCAGCTGAATTTCTGATGCAGGCACAGAGGATTTGTTTAATTCACTCCCAAATATAAAATGAGGTATGTGACTTGCCTTGAGAGAAAGCAGAAGCAAAGGATTAAATGGAGGAACCAACCTTGGCGAGGGCAACCATCAGCTTGCGGAAGTCCCCGGATGTGTCCGAAACAATGTCCTTCTCCAGGTCGGTCTTGTACACTTGGAAAACAACATAGCTGGCTTTACACTTGCTGGCTTGGCAGCCAACCACTTACCCACCCCAGTAACCCTGCCCATCTGAAGAGCAGCGAAGGCTGTGCCCGCTACATGGACCCAAGTTCCTTCACCCTTAGTTGAGCGGGGATTCCCTAGAATGAGGTTTTGACCTTGTGAAAGTCAAGGTAATGTCATTGACAATGTCAAGGAACACACAGTGCCAGAGCAAATCAGGGAGCCTCAATCTCACCTTTAATCAAGGCCTCTTTGTAGCCAAATCTCTAAGTCCCAACCTTTTTGACTCCGAGGACTAATTTTGAACCAAATCAAACCAATTCAAAGGGCACTCTGATGGCCTAGTCTGCAGGGAGTTGGGCTGCTAATCTTAAGGCCCGGCACGTCTGGCACTGTGATTCCACCCGGTGCTCCTTGGGAAGAAGAAGGGCAAGCTCCATGTATACAGCCTCAGAAAGGCCTGGTCAGCTACGAGTTGGTTCTGACTCAACAGCAGTGCATCTGAGCTATAACCATATATGCATAATCATATGCATATTATCAACATGCATATAATGGTGCCTCTATCATGAACTGAGACCATGTTCAATGGTTAAATATGTTAAGACTAAAATAGCATTTGAGTGAATTTTGTATCTTATTATTCAAAATAGCATCAATATGGAAAAACATCCACATGTTTTTATCATGTGTATTATTTATTCCAGCCATAGCCCCTAAGGAGCTCTGGTGGCTTAATGGTTAAGAAGTTGTGCTGAAATCCCAAAGACATGTGGTTCAAATCCACAAGCTGGTTGGCAGGAGAAAGATCTGAAAACCGACTGGAGAGTCAGTGATGGGTCAGTTCTCACTTGACGGCACACAACAACAGCCCCCTACGCTGCTTAGAACACACAGGTTCACACGCATCTTCTCAATTTTCCGTAAGCCAGATGTGGAGACCTTTTCAGCAGAAACTGAATAGCAGTCAAATGAAACTCAAGCACCATATTCTATTTTTCCTACCAAATCTTTTCTTTAAAAAAATAAAAATCATATTCTACTATCATTTTGAAGAATTTGTATCAGAATGTGATAAAAATTCAGGGAATAAGAAAGTAAAGAAGGAGGACGTCGATTCTTTCAAATGTCCCCTGGACAGTCAAGATAGAGGCACTTCTGCAGGTAACAGTGCTTGGCTGCTAATCAAAAGGTTCACAGTTCAAACTCAACCAGTAGCTCCATCAGAAAAAGGCCTAGCAATCCCATAAAGATTACAGCTTAGGAGACCCTATGGGGCAGTTCTACTCTGTCACATGGGTTCGCTTTGAACAAGAATTGACTTGATGGTGTACAGCAACATCACATAATCTAGGTATACTTTCCCAAACACTGATCCAAGACAGCCAGGAGGTGTTACCGAAATTGAGTTGAGAGGATTACTCACAGAAATAGGGCTACTCACTTTCCTTGTAGACTCTGTTGATTTCCTGCAGCTCCTGGTTGGTCCTGGAGCAGATGATCTCAATGAGGGAGTCCTCATCCGTCCCCAGGCCCTGTGAACCAGAGAAAATGACAATCAGCTGGGACCTCCTCTCCATTCACCTGGTTCTCTGCTCACCATCTGCAAACAATCTGTTGGCATTCCCTCTGAGAGCTCCCACTGACAAATCGGCACCATATTCCCTAGCAGAAAATGGTAGGATTTTCTATTACCTAAAAAAATGCCTATCCAGAATACAAAATTACACAGATTTGAGCTCAAACATGTTTTATTAACAAAATGTGAATGGGAAGAGGCATAAACAAAATGTACAAAAATGTAAAATAGAGAAAAGAAGTGCCTTCTGCTGATGAATTTATAAAGTGGAGGTATTTAACCCCCTTCCTTTGATTTTTCTGCATTTTTCAAATTTTATAATAACTCGCTTATCTTATCCTTACTTTTAAAAGACAAGGTATGATTGTCTCCATTAAACAATTCTCCTCAATTAAAACAAAGGAATATAAAAATTTTACCTTGTCATTTTCAGCTAGCATCGTTAAAGCAGACTAAGCTTTCTTTTGCTTTTTCCTCTTTAGCCAGGGATAGGTAGAGATAAAATAAAAATTTTAGCTTCAACTCCTTTGAAATGTAAAATTGGGTTAACGTTAAAAATTTCATTCTTGTACGCACACTTTTGCTTGATTATTATGCGCTCTTCGGGCATTTTAGGGAAGCAAAAGGAAATAATGATGTGCCAAGTAAACCTAGACACCAACACTTTATTAAGGAGTAAGAATTTGATGGGCGATGTATTCAAATTTAATATATACACTTATGAGTGTGCCAGATAGCATGAAAGGGCCCAATGAAACATGTATTTCAAAGCTGGCTTCATGATCAAAGTCGCGATTTAATAATCAGGATTCTCTAATACTTGTCTTTCTGAATATGGAAATATCACTTTGAACTAAGTAGAATTACAACTGTTTAAAATGTAAATCAATTATAAGGTGTTAATACAATGAGAAACTTACTTATCCACATGAAAAGTGTGTCAGCTATTAATTAAACTTATTAAGAGTTTATGTGCCCCTTGAAAGAGCGGTTTGTGTAATATTAGCTAAGCCTCGGGTCAATGGTTAATTTTGAATTTTATTCTTAATCTAATCTATGAGCCAATGCCTCTCTGCCAGAGTTTTTAATCATGATTTGTAGAGGTTCTGACAAAGCTAAAAATGTTCTCCTTGTTAGCAGAAGATCTACACAGCATTCTGTACAAACGTTATAAAATAACTATCAAATGTCTTCCAATCTTTTTTAGTGGGGGGGAGGAATGGTGGCCCATCTTCAATCTCAAGGTTGATGGAGCTATAATCTGAAAATAACTCATGCATGGAAAGAAATGCTATACCCTGACACAGTAGGCAGCAATGTAAGACAACGGACAGCAATATAGGATTTGCTTCTTCCATCAATCATACACCAGTGTTCACAGCTGAGAATTCTAAGTGGCCTTCTTTTTGCATTCCAAGTTAATCTTGGCCATTTCCAAAACAGGCCCCAAGTTTCCACAGTCTGTCCACAATTCCTGTTACAAGGGCAACTGCCATAAGGCGGATCCTGTCACTGGTATTGTCTGAAGTCAAAACAGATTGGGGAAGAGGGGAACCAAACTTAAAACTGTTCAGTTAATGTCACTTTGAGCTTTGTGGATTTCAGAAGGGTACTCAGCTGTGATCACTAATGGAAGAGCTGGCACAAGGTCAAAGATTTAGCTGCTGAAGTACCTTTCATTGGGCGCTGTTACATAGATTACATCAGTGACTGACAGCTCAAGCAAATCCATTTCAAGTCACTAATATCTAGTATCAGATACTCATGAAATCACATGAATCACCACTAAACGGATTCTGGATGAAAATAAGATCAACTGATCTGAAGTGTTGATGGTCGAAAGAAACCTCAGCGAGCGTAGCTCAACGAAGGGCCTTAAGTTCCCAAGACTCAGTTTTCAGGAGTAGTGGGCAAGCATCTCCACCCTGCAGGATCATTAAGTTGTGCTGACAGTTTTCTCATCCTTGTTGGGGCCTTCCCTGCGGCCCAGCCTACCAAGGAAACCTAGAGCAGGCTCTTAAAGAAAACCCGAGCCTTCTTGAGCGAAGCTGAATCACTGAAGGACGAAGGAGCTTTCAACACACCTTTCAGCAGCCCCAAGCTATCAAGTGAGGGCCCTAGGAACAGGCATCATGTGAAAGTGCCTCATTTTCAAGTTAATCTCTAGAGAAAGGGGTGACAACTCAACTGTGACATTAGCTGTGGTGAAAGGCTCATAGCTAGGTCTGTTGAACATTCAGAAAGACTAGCAACACAGAATATGTACTCTGCCTTTGTTGTTGTTAGGTGCCATCAAGTTGACTACAACTCCTGGCGACCCTGTGAACAATACTTTGCCCAATCTTACTTATACCACCCTCAAGTCCATTGCTGCAGTGACGGCATCTCATTGAGGGTCTGTCTTTTTCATTGCCCCTGTATCTTTTTCAGCATGATGTCTTTTCCCAAGGACTGGCCCCTGCCAACAACATGCCTAAAGTATGTGAGCCCGGGTTTCATCATCCTTGCCCCTGAGCAGCACTCTGCTTTTGTTGTTGCTAAGGTCATTGAATTGCCTGTCTCTGCTTTTAGGACAAGCAGAAAGAAAAAAAGTCTTTTCTCTGGGGTCCCACTTAAAGGCTTTACCCATTTATGTCAGCAGAGGGCAGTATCGGATTATTCAAAATGTTTCAAGCGCTCTGAAAAGGTTGCATATGCTATGCGGGAATAGGCCTTTATGTTTAAGCATCTCTTGCACTGATATAGTATTTGATGCACACAGTTTAAGGAATGGCCAACTTGGAGTCTCATTATTCAGTACAACCTAGAATTCGAGGTTCATTGCTAACCTTGGAAAAGAAAATAATACAAGATAGCATGCGATACAATACTTGGAGTAAAATGCAGGTGCCATACCTGATCTGGAATCACCCCTTTCGGGTTCTACACTTTGATAAGGTCTGGTGTTGCCAAAATTTGAATCAAACAGGGACAACAGGCAGAGAGTCCAGAGGAGGAATAGCCACAAAATTATGGGGGGGATTTGACAGCTTCTTTTAACAAAAAACCATGAGTGTTCACTTTTGCCTTAACATCACATCTTTTTTAAAGGAGGAAGTGTAATCAAGGAAGTAGTTTTCCAAATGGTATTCCAATAGCCCAGGTGCCAAGCAGTAGCAGCTGGTAACTGACTTCTCAGCATCATGAAATCTCTTTACAGTCTTAAAAAAAGTAATTGAAATATTTTTGGTACAAATCCTGAGACTTAAAAGCTTCAGTTCATTTTAAAAAAAAAAGTGGTTCCAAATGAGAATTCGACAAAATGGAAAATCACCTAATTACACTCAGAAAGCTGTAATTCACTGATATTAATGGCAGATATGACAGAGATTAAATCCCACATGTGGTTACCTTCATGGAGGCTTTCAGCTCCGAGGCATCATACTGAGCAGGTGTTTTCAATAGGCCCAAAATCACTGTCTCCAGGTGGCCAGATAAGGCTGACTTCAGTGCTGATGCAAGTTCCTATAGAAAGACAATCATGAAAACCAGTCAGTGACCAGCATTCACTGTCAAATGCTGCAGAAGGAAGCTGCACAATGCAGCTTGTGATTTTTTTGACCACTCTAGGTTCTTGGGTCAAACTATCCCTGAATTATGTTCCTTTCAACAAACCTACATGTCAGAGACGAAAAGATGAGACATTTTTAAAAACCAAACTCTCTAATACCCAAACCTTCTCCCGTAAATCATTAAAGAGAAGTGGGAGTGGTGCTCAACTCCTCAGAAAGGCAGGTAAGAGCAGTCAATTCACAACTTAAATCAACTGAAGGTCTCAAGACACCTGGGCAGGCAGGGAATTTCCTGGGGCCCAGGGACCTGGCTCAGAAGGAGAACAAACAGGCTGCTGGGAAACCAAGCCAGTGTGGCCTCCTGATGCTATCCTGCAAAAGACATTTATCCAGAAGTGGCTCTTGAATGACTCCAGAAGGGACGGATGGCCTTCCCAAACGGCTGGCTGGAGGTGGAATTATGAAGCTGTGTTTGCCAAACATTTCTTGTAAGACTGACCATTTGTCTTAAGCAAATTGGGATGATGTTGATGGAGATGATGAGCCTCAAGGCCTCAGTGGCCTCTTTGGTTTTCCCCCTGCAGATTCCTTCTGTCACCACTGACTCAAGATTTTAAGCCAAGGTCAGAGTCACCATCGATGTCTATACACAAATCTATTAATCTAAAGTAGCTTTTAAACATGTTTCATGGGAGATTAAATTTCTTACAAGACACAGGCAACACATCGCACTGGGTGATGAATGTCTTCCATGATAATAATCTTCTTCTGTCCTTTCACTGTATCCCAGCTCTTCTCTCCCTTATCTTTTCCTCTTCCTTTCCAACATATATCCCAAGGTCTTTCCAGTGTTTAGTCCTTTGAGGCATTTTCAGGCTATAAGAGGTGATTTAGAACTTGTCTCAAATCATTCATAGATGCCAATAATGTTAGAAATTGCATCTCTCTTCGAAATCATCTGGCCCAACTCGTTAGCTACCTACTCTTTCCTGCTCCCTGGTGCCCTAGAAACACACAGCACTGACAATGGAACTTTACAAGCAACACCTCCTAATTATACTACCAATTTTTCAACTTGGAACTTTGAGGTTAGCTAATTCCAAATTTAGCCTACACTGGACACGTCCTTCTATAATTCTCACACCCTTAACTGCTCAAACCTCAAGTACCATTTGGGCACCAATTGATTTCTTCTACTTCTTAGCGAAGTGTAGAAGTTATAAACTCCTTCAACCTGATTTGACTCACTGTTGTTGAGCTGGTTCCAACTCATAGTGACACCACCCCACCCCAACCATGAGTTTCTGAGGCTGCAAACTGCAAAGGGAGGAGACTTTCTCCTTGGACCCACTAGCAGATTTGAATCACTGATGTTTAGTGCAACAAACTATGGACTATACCAATGCTGTTGTTGTTATTAGTCACAATGACTAACAGCAACCCTATGCACAATAGTCCTGAAATCTGCTCTATCCTGTGCCAACCTTATTGTTTCTGACACACCTATCCTTGTTACCCCTGTCACTGAATCAATCTATCTCCTTGAGGGTTGTCCTCTCTTGCACTGTCCCTCCTCTCTTCCAAGCATGATGCCCCGCTCCAAGGACTGGTCTCTCCTCGCAACACACCCAAAGTATGTCAGATGAAGCCTCAGAATCCTTCCCTCTAAGGAGTAGCCTGGTTCTACCTTCTCCAGGACAAACCTGTTTGTTCTCCTGGAAGTCTATGGAATAGTCACTACTCTTCTCCAGCATCACAGCTCAAAGACATCAATTCTCTATCATCCCTACAGCTTTGTGACTCAGCAAGTAATTGCAAAGACTATGGTAGAGATCCTGTGCACCTTAGCCTCCAGACTGACATTATTATCCGAGCTTCCTATAAACACCTTGTTGTTGTTGTTAATTGCTGTCAAATTGAGGATGACTCATAGCAACTCTATGAACAAAAGGCCTTAAGCCTTTCTATAACTATCGTCATTTATCAAAGTTCATAGAGTTTCTGGAGGCATGCTGTTTAGGAAGTGGATGCCGCTCCCTCTCTCACAAAGTCTAGCACAGGGCTCTGCATTTAAGAGCAACTTTAGGAATATTTGATAAATAAAAGATAAACTATATATGGAGGAATCTAGAAGCTGCACTTGAACATGAAAGAAACGCAAAACGAGTTCTTTCTCCCAATTTCTTTGCATGTCTATTAGCTTATGCCCATATTCTACATGTACCACCTTAAATTCTGGGCAGCCATGTCCCATTTCTCTAAAGTTACTCTACATCACAGGAAGATCTGGTGGCTTCGTCACTAGAGAGTTGCACTGTCAACCCAAAGGCAAGAGGTTCAAATCCATCAGCAGCTCCTCTGGGAAAAAAAAAGATGAACAATCTCCTCCTGTGCAATTTATATTTTCTGAAACTATGAGTTGGTTCCAAATCAATGGCAATGAATTGGTTTATCTGGAATACACATTACAGGACATTCTCCTTTATTTTCAAACTCATTTAACAATAAGATTCTGCTCCCAACATTTCTTTCATAAAATATCTCAGGCAGTTTATAGAACTGTCTGTAAAAGATGACAATGTCACTTGACCCAAGGTTCTGAGGCATCTGGGATCATTAGCCTAGGCAGCTGTCCTCATTCACAGCTGAGGAGGTCACTGAACCCCAGCATGAATGAATCTTCCTTCCAGGGGAGTATCTGAGAGTTTATTGTCCATCCATCTAATTTTCAAACAAGATCCAGGCTTCTATATTTGTGTATACATTCATGAGCCCAAATATTCCAACTTCCCACTTCTTAAGTGACAGCTGGAGAACAATTATAGGTATATGGCCAAAGACGTAAGCCTTCTGCTTCAAGTGAGACTTGGCTCTGCCAGCTCTCAGATCCTTTTGGGAACCTAGAAAAATAAAACACTCCCTTCCATGCCTCACTCCAGAAGATTAATGTAAGTCTAGTTGGAAGAAGAATGTTAATGTACATGGGATGAAAGAAGCCAGACGTGTTCCTATTTATGTCCTTTCCAACTGTTCCAGAGTGGGGACTGTATTAGGGCCAGACCACCAACTATCAGGTCCCTGGCGGTCACGTCAACCCTGAGGTGGAAATAGCTCAGTCAGGGCCAGAAGTCCTTCCAGCTCACCTCCACTGTGGGCATGAGAGAAAACCCCAAGTCAATCGGGAACTGCAGGAAGCCACGCTTACTGCACAGCCCAGGAATAAATCAAAAGCTCTAAATAGCAAGAAGTTAAAAATAAAGCAGCATGTCCTTAAAAATACAATTTTCTAACACTGTGACAAAATAAAGATGAACAAGCACTAGGTTGCTCCTTAGCCAGGAGTGGACAAGCAGAGGGGAAAGTGCGTGCATTCTCTTTAAACAGCAGGAGGAAGCCATGCTAAAGATAACCAGGGAGACCAGAGAACTACCAGCTAAGCTCCTCTGTGCACAACAGTCTGAAAGCTATGTTGGGTTTGGGGTTTTTTAGCATAAAAGGAGTTTGGGGGGGCGTTTAGCATAAAGGAGTGTCGGGGTCCATTTTTGGTGGGGATAAATGTCTGACAATTAAATTACAGAAATCTTATCAGAGCCAGCAGAAGCCATGAAGATAAAATGAACTGCTACTCTCCTGGCCTAGAGGGTAAAGAGTTGCCCTGCCCACACAAAGACAAGCACTGTAAATCTGCCAACTACTCTGAGGGAGAAAGATGGGTAATCTCCTCCTGTGTTACAGTATCTGAAAACCCCCTGGGTCAGCTATGAGTCAGTGCTAACTTGATAGCAGTAAGAGAGAGAGATGTGTAGAGAGCTTAACACAGTACTTGGCACAAAGTAAAAGCCCAACAAATGTTACTTATAATGGGCTTAATAATGCCCCCTCAAAAAAGATAAATCCATGTCCTAATGCCCAGAATATGTGCAAGTGACCTTATTTGGAAAAGGAATCTTTGTAAATGCAATGAACACTAAGGATCTCAAAATAATCTCATCCTAAATTATCCAGTGTGAACTAAATATGATGTCAAATGTCTTTATAAGAGACAGAAGTTGAGGCAATACATAGAAGAGAAGTCCATGTGAAGATGGAAGTTATGCAGTCATAAAACAAGGAAATCTAGGCACCAAGAGATGCTGGATGAGGGATAAAGAAAGGGTTCTCCTTTCCATTCCTTCAGAAGAAGCTCAATCTTTCCTACATCTAGACTTCAGACTTCTGGTCTCCTGAATTGTAAAAGAGTATGTGCCTGTTGTTGTAAGCTGCGTACTTTGTGGTAATTTGTTACAGCAGCCCTAGGACATCAATACAGTATCTATTATTAGTCCTGTTAATCCTTTCTGACTCTCTGCTTTCACAACTGTATGTTTCATGCACTCTGGCTTGAAGGAGGGTATTGTTTTATGTATGAGCTCCATTTCTGGCACTCAGATGCCAGAAATATATGAGAAGTAACTTGCTAAGAAACAAGAGGAAAACTAAACTCTGAACACTCAAGTGTTCCAGAAGGCTCTTAAGTGATACATTAGCTTTTCTTCCCCCACACTACCTTTTTAATATAAGCCAGAACATGTGAAAAGAAAAGGAATTGCTAAGGAAATTGTCAAGGAATGCCTTCTGCAATGGTTTACACTGTACGTCCACTTGATTGCATATGATTCTCTAGCTTTTCAACTGTGATGTAGTCATTTGCTTAATGAGGTTTGCTATGAGCACCCAGTAAGTTGAAGAGGAGATCCTCATGGGCGCATATAAAAGTCTGGTGACAAGCTTGCTTTTTGCTTGGTCTTGATCTTGCATTATGTTTTATCACCTCTTTGGTACTTTGGATTTGAACCAGCTACTTGCCCTATTTGCTTGTGACCTTGCATTTTCCAGTTTCCACAATTAGGTGCCAGAGAAATGGGTTTTTGTTTTGTTTTCAGGTTTTTTTTTTGTTTCTGTTTTTTTTAGCAGCTCATGGTTGCTGTGTTACCCAGGGTTACCCATGGTGGACAGTGTTTGGTGGAGCTCCCCAACTAAAATAGGCTTGGAAGCAGGAGTGGCATCCACTTCTAAAACAGTTTGCCTCTGGAAACTCTATGAACTTAGAAAAATTATGAAAATTATACAAGGATTCAGGTCTTTCATTCATAGGATCGTTAAGAGTCATCTATGAATCAATGGCACTTAACAACAACAATAAGCAGCATATTTGTCATTTCCTTTAGATTAGCCTCTAATATCTCTATAAGTTTTGCTTCTCTAGAGAAAATAGCCTAAATCAATTTCCATCCCCCAAATTGCACCCTTTTATTTTTGCTCCAACAAATCTTTGTATTTACACACCCATAAGATATATGATTCAAAATGGGCCCATAGGTCATAACTTAACAGCTTCTACTCTAAACATCCAACATTCAGATATAATACTACCTTTTTGGTCCTTCTCTGGTAGGCGAAGGCAATATCCTGCCTCTGTTCATTGCTGCGGTTGGTCAAAATGTTGACAATGGTGACCTCATCCACACCTATGGAAATAAGTCAACAGTCAGTCTACCACTTCCTACAGTACTTTGGTTTGAAGTATATTTTTTTTTATTTGAAATTTATATATTGTTTTTGAAGCTGAAATATCAGGATATTATGGTCTGTATTTTTTCTTTTGGCAGCATCCTCTAACCCAATGTGTAAACTTTATTTTCGTGACAACTTCAAATCTCAAATGGATACAGAACTTTTACATGTTTATCTTTTTTAAAAAAACAACTATTTTATTCACAAACTAGTTTCTGGAATCAATAGTAGGAAGTGCATTTGTGGGGCTCTGGTAATCGGATGGAACAACAAAGATTTAGAAGGATTGTAAATGAAGGTCCCCAAATTGCCATTTAAGTGGGATTTAATAGACAGTAACTGCGGACTAAATTAATAGAGACAATTATTTATATTTATTGCAGGATTATAACTATATAAGCAGCTAGGTATAATTTCTATAATTATAGAAACTGTCATGACAAATGAGTCAGATTTAATATGGCAGTTGTATTTTAATAGCATAATTGATTAATACAATCATACTTATTGAAGGCTAAATTGTTTTGTAAGGAAAATAAACGTTCCACTGCTTTTAATCTTCAATAGGCAATTTTAATAATCAATTTTACAACTTTATTAAAAAGAGTAAGTGTTTTAATCTAAATTAAATCTAAATTGGGAGTTTTGAAGTGCCACCAAAATGTTTTAGTACCTATTTTAATTGGAACATATGTATTTACAAAGATAAGCAATGCCTCCTGGCATCTAGAAGTTTCCAATTTTATATCAGAAATGCTCCCAACATACCATTAAAGTTAATAAAGCACGGTTTTAGGAATTCAGAGTGTGAAAGGTCTCTCTCCTGACTGATTATGGACTTTGTCTAATAAAAGGAAGAGTTTTTGCCATTCTGGATACATAAGTTAGGGAGGAGAGCCAGCAGAATTGCTAAGCTCATTCATGCACATATGAGCTAGGGACAATCTCATCCAGGTCTTTCAAGGAAGGTTCTTCAGTGGGCTCCCAGAGGAAACAGAAAGGTCAGAACTGTAGTGCTTTGAGGCAAAAGCAATGAGCAGATTGACAAGAGGACATATACTGAATTCTTAAATGCATCAGAAAGATCAAAAAGCATAAAGTTCAAATTTCTGAATATAAAAAACCACTAACATTTCAGAGTTAAATGCAGTGCCTTTATTAACTTTAGCCTGGTTGGCTTTTGTTTTATTTGTTTGTTTGTTTGTTTGTTAGAATAGCCCATGTAAACAAAAGAGCTCAATCCTGAGATTGCCTCCAAAATGCTTATTTCAGCCCTACACAGAATACAAAAAAATAAAGCAAAAAGATATTGGTTAAATATTCTTTTGTCCATATAGTGGGATACTACGCAGTCACAACAATGGGGGAAAAAATCAATTCATAACATACTGTTAGGTTAAAACAAAACAGATTGCAAAAACCTATGTCTAACATATAAGCCTATTTTGGAAAACTTCAAACACATTCATACTATGTTTCTAACTTTATATGAAAAATTTAACAATGATCATATGGAAATATAGGCAGTCTCCTCCCACAAAGATCTAAAGCTTCACAAACCCAATGGAGGGTCAATGTGAGTCAGGATTAGCTTGGCTATAGTGAGGTCTTCATTTGAGTAAAGCAGGGAGCTCTGGTGGCCTAGTGGCAAGAAGCTGCACTACAATCACAGAGGTGTGTGGTTCAAACCCACCAGAATCACTGCTGGAGAAGGAGGAACAATCTCCTCCTGTACCAATCAGATCTGATTTGACAGTACATACACACACAACACACAAGAAGTTGTTCTCATCTGAGTAAAGCAGTAAGGAAGCACAGATCAATGACTCCTGTATCTGTAACTGTTATCTGTGTTCTCCTTGAATCCCAGGTAAGGAAGCCTTGCAGGCTCATAATTTTACTTATGTTCTAGAAAAACAGAAGATTTGGGCAATTTTCCTTTGTCTTACACCATATCGTGGCTCAGTTCCATTATACCCCAATAAAGCCAGTACCACTGTAAAATGAGTTACATAAATTTTCTGGTTTACTAGCACATATAAAAGTTACACTTATGTTATAAAGTAATCTATTAAGTGTTCAATATCATTCTAAAAATATTTGAAATGTTGAGAAGCTTGCCAAAATCTGACACAAAGGTATTAAAGGAGCACATTGGAAAAAATGGTACCCACAGAGTTGCTGGATGCAGCATTGACACAAACTCAATTTGTAAAACCAAAATGCAGTATCTGCAAAGCGCAATAAGGCAAAACACATTAAATCAAGGTGTTCTGGTATCTTCCAACCAGTCAAGCTTCACACTGAGGGTTCTTGTTTTCTCCTTGCCACACACAAATGCAACCCAGCCTCTAAGGGCTTCTCTGGCACACTCACATATGTAATCCAGGTCTAACTTCTTTGGTTTCCTTTCAACATTGGCAAGAAGATGTTGTTAGGTAATGTTGAGTTAAGTATGACCCACAGCAACTCCATGAACGACAGATCTGAACCCTGTCCTATCCTGTGCCATCCTCACACTTCCTGACACACTAGAGCCCATTGTGGCGGTCACCATGTCAATCCACATGGTCAAGGATCTTCCTCTCCTTTGCTGACCCTCTGCCTTTCTAAGCATCATGTCCTTCTCTAAGGAATAGTCCCTCCTAGCAATATGCCTAAAATATGTGAAGGGGAGCTTTATCATCTTTACCTCCAAAGAGCACTCTGGCTGTACTTTCTCCCCACAGCTCAAAGGCATCAAATCTTCTGTCATTCCTATTCCCTGTCCAGCTCTCAGATGTATAGCAAGTACTTGGAAAGACCATGCCTTGCTCAGATGCAACTTAGTCCTCAAACTGACACAATTACTCCTGTAATTTGGAGAGGTCCCTAACTTCAGACTTTCCTAGTAGAATATGTATCCTCATTGTTCTAATTTGTACAGCACTTATCTGTTAGTTTGCTGTTCTGAGATAACCTGGAATTACTGTGATACTGAAAGCTATGCCACTAGTGTGTCAAATGCCACAAGGGTTAACCATGGTTGACAGGTTTCAGTAGAGCTCCCAGATTAAGACAGACTAGGAAACAGGATTGGCATCCACGTCTTAAATAAAAGGCCTCTGAAAACCCTCTGAACAGTAAAGGAATGTGAATTGTGATAGTAGAAATGGTAGAGCTCAGATTGGAAGTCAGTCAAAATGGGGAAAAATAATGGCAAATATCCTTTAATAATTGGAACATGGAACGTATATAGCTTGAATGTTGAAAAACTAGAAATTGTGAAAAATTAAATGGAACACATCAACATCAACTTAGTAAGCATAAGTGAGATGAGATAGACTAGCTTTGGCCACTCTGAATCAGATAATCATATGGTATACTATGCTGGGAATGAAAACCAGAAGAATGGTGTTGCACTAAGAGTCAAAAAGACAGTTTCAGGTTCCATCATGAAATACAATATTGTGAAGGATAGGATATTATCTATATACATATAAGGAAGACTTGTTAATATGTCTATTACTCAAATACACACTCCTACATTTAGAGCCAAAGAGGAAGAAATTGAACATTTTTTGCCAAATCTTGCAGTCCTAATTTGACTGAACAGGCAGTCAAGATGTGTTAATGAAACTGGTGACTAGAATGTAAAAGTTGGAAACTGTGAAGAAGGAATTGTTGCTGTTATTATGTGCTATCAAGTTGCCTGTGACTCCTAGTGACCTAGTACAACATGGGCTTGGTAAAAGAAATGAGGTGGCAAATAGAACGATCAAATTTTGTATTTAGTCACTGCAAATATCTTTCTTAAGAGGCACAAATAGCAACTTTACATATGGACCTCACCTGATGGGCTGCACAGGAGTCAGAGTTACAACATCTGTAGAAGAAATCATTGGAGAAGCTCAATATTAACTGTCAAAAATAGGTGAGGGACAGACTGTGTGTCAGACCATCAATTACTCATGTGCAAGTTCAAATTGAGGTGAAGAAAATAACAAGTCTACAAGAACAAAAATATGATCTTGAATCTATTCCATCTGAATTTCAAAATCATCTTAAGAATAGGTTTGAAGCACCGGATGAGTTGTGTGTGAGATGATATCAAGGATATAATTTATGAAGAGAGAAAAATCAGCAAGATAAATTTCTCCAAAGATTCTTAAGGTTATGAAGCTACTTTAGTGAACCTGGGTCTGGGAATGTCTGAGTACATGTTGTTGTTGTTGTTGTTGTTGTTAGGTGCCATCAAGCTGAGTACAACTCATAGCAAGCATATGACCAACAGACCTGAACTCTATCCTCTATTGTGCCAACTCACTATCTCTGACATACTTCGGCCCATTGCTGCAGTCACTCTGTCAATCCATCCCATTGAAGGTCGTCTTCTCTTTCGTTGAGGCTCCATTTTTCCTAGCATGATATCCATTTCCAAGGAATAGTTTCTCCCAGCAACTTGCCTGGAGTATGTGAGACGAAGCTTTGAGACAAAGCTTTGCCATGAGATATTCAATACTCTTCTCCAAAACCACAACTCAAAAGCATTGATTCTTCTTCTGTCATTTGTATGCACTATCCATTTCTCAGATGCATAGCAAACACTTGTAAAGAATCAGGCATACCTTAGTCTTCAAACTGAAATCATTGCTCCTCAGTGTGTGAGTGCATACTTCCTTCTTTTTCTCTCTTTCAATTTAAAAAATGTGAGGGCTCTAACTTTATATCAAGGAACCCTGGTAAAGTAGCAATGCATATGTCTGCTAACCAAAAGGTTGGCAGTTTAAATCCATCCAGTGGCTCTGTAGAAGACATGGAGATCCACTAGATGGAAGAGAGATTCCGATAGGATGGTGAAACTGTCTCATACACTGCAAGTGTGTTATCAGAAGGGGCCAGCCCTTAAAGAAGGACATCATGCTTGGTAAAGCAGAGTCAGAGAAGGGAAGATAGACCATCAAAGAAGTGGACT